CTTTTCAGATGTTTGTTGGCTTTTCCGCTTTTCTCTCCTGTGGTTTTCTTGTTCTTGGGCTCTTTTTCTTCTATTGGGTTTGTTTTTTAAAAATTGATTTGCTGGAATTCTTTATATATTGTGAATAATGATCCTCAGTTGGTTATATACAGTGCACATATCTTCTCGAGATTGTGTTTTCAGTCATTTGTGCTTTTGGTGTATTGTTTAAGAAATCCTTTCCTATGTTGAGATAATGAAGATATTTTCCTGTATAGGGACAGAGAGTTTATGGCCCACAAAACCTAGAATATTTATTTTTTGGCCCTTTACAGAAAGAGTTTGTTGAATCTTGCTCTAAAGAGTCTCTTATTTGAGAATTTTTGTTTTTTTCCCTTTTGGAATATAATATCCATCCTGTTAGAAAATATTTGACTTAAATGTCAACTAATAATAAGTTAAAATAGTTATTGTGAAATAAATTGTATAGCTTATCCTTAAGAATATTTTGTAGTTGCATTCAGGAAATAATGCGCTTAGAGTACCAACTTTAAACAGTTCTTTACCTCGTGAGCGAAACTGGTATTGATAAACACACCTTGTAGAACAATTAAAAAGTAAAGCCCTCTTTATGTCAGTGGGGTGAAGTGACCCTTGTCATTGTCTTCTACTTGGCTTGATATATCAGGAATTCTAATGTTTCTTGAATGAATGAATGAATGAGAGAGTACATGTAGAGTGCTTAGCACAGGGACAGCCTTAATAAATGACAGCTATTAATAATGAATATATCAGGATATGTGTTTGTCACCCACAACTGCCGTGGCCCAGACATTAGCATAACAAGATGATTTTTCTTTTTATTCTTGAAAAATAACAAATTGTCCTGTATTTTTTCTTTTAAAAGCTAACCTTTTTATTTTGAAGTAATTTTTTGATATGCGAAGGACTTCAAATTAGGGCATCAGTTAAGCATCTACAGATAAAATGTGGTACATGGGTACAGTATTTGGTTTAAGGACATTAGTCACAATCTATCAATTAAAAAAAATTAAGTTACAGTTATATGCAAAACACCATGCTCAATGAATGAGTAGATGAAGTAATGTAAGACAGTTTCTGTCCTCAAATAATTTGGAGTGTGGTTGAAAGACAATGCATGCACATATGTTACTATTTCATGGACCTAGTTTTCCCCTTATTTCATACCAGTAAGATTCTTTTTGGTCTCTTTTCCTCTCACTTCTTTATTACTTATCTTTCATATTAAATATATCCTTTTATGCTTGCTTTTAGAATTCAGTTCATAGACAGCTTTTAGATACTCCCCTGATTTATGAATTTACAAAATAACATCTCTGACAATGCAATAGTTTCTAACTACTCCTTTATTATTTTCCTTTTTAAGGCATAGTCACCATGCTAATTTTTATTTTTCCAAGTATTTAGGCATAGTAATTTTTGTTGTTGTTGTGGGGAAAGGCTGGAGAGAACTATGAAACTTTAGAGGTTGATGTAGTTATCTTAATCTACTTAAACTTCTGATTGTAGCCTTGTGAAAGGAATAGTGGCAAGGAATCAGCAGTTGGCCTTTCAAGATCAAATGTTATATTCTTTCTTTATCCTTTCAAAAAATTTCAATATATGTCTCTATGTAGTATGACAAGAGAGGGAATAAATAGAAATTGTTAGACACAAAATTTTCTAAAATCCTTGGTTGTTGACCTAAGAACAGTTTTGGCTACTGTAAATTTGAAATGTATTTTTAAACAATTGACTCCTGCATGTGGAACTAATAATAGAGCTGTCACACCCACATGTATCTCTTGTGTTTCTCTTTAAATGATAATAGATTTTTTTGCTGTTATTTGGGTTAAGTTTTCTTGCCTTTTGTTGAAGTAAAAGAACTCTAGACAGTTTCCAGCTATGGGAAAAGAAGCCATCTCTTAAGGAGTTTCGTTCTACCATACAGTGTAGCTATTTACAGTTCTTAGAGATTACAGGTGTTGGGAGCCCATGTGTTTTGTCTTCTTGACGTTCAGATATATTAGATGAGAGAGAATATTTTTTAATTTATTCTCCATTTTCCTAATATAGTCTCTGTAAATTTAAAGAGCAAAAACAAAAGGAAGACATCCCTATGAAAGATAAACTTGATCATTTGTTAGCAGGAGAAATGCTTAGTGAAAAATATTTAATTTTGTTCATCTATTGTTTCAAAACCCCTAGGTCAAAGGGTTTCAGAGAGAGGCTAGAAAATATTAGCCTATTATTGGAGTGGAGGATATTATGACTTCCTGTCATTGCTGTTTCAGGATTCTTTCTCTAGTTTTCTTACAGAATTGAAACTTGCTGATTTTGGTACAAATAATTCTCTTTTGTTACTAAATAATTGTCTTTTTTAAGCCTCTGTTCTATTGCTACATTCATTTATTTCCATCTTTAAATATGATTATACCGAATCCTTTAAATAGAAACTCCAATAGAAGATCACTTCTGAAGAAATAATTCCCCTTTAATATTGCAAATAAATAAGCATCACCTTTCTTAATTTCTATCTTCTACTCTACTTGTGCAACCAACCACCCACTGAAAAACCATCTTCTTTGAGGAGTCACCCTTGAGTTCATAGATGGTATAATTAATTCAGAGCATTTTAAGACTTAAACAGAAAACATTTTTAGTATAAAATTAGCTGTGGTTTAAAATTTTCTCAGTTATGGAGTGAAAAACTAATTTAAGTTACCTAAATAAAGCTGCTCTAGTGGGAAGAGTTTTCTGAAGCTAGTTCTTGATCTTTTACTTTTGTTAGTACAGCTACTAGCATAATATTTTAAGATAAGCAGATCCCTTTTTAAAATTATTAGTGCAAATACCCCTTTTAAGAATTAAAACATTTGAATACAAGGCAGCAAGTTATAAGTCTATATAATAGCATCGCTTTCTATTTGAAAAAATATGGAAGATATAATTATATGTAGAAGGGTCTGCAAGTTATTTGTGGTGGTGGTTGACTTACTTTGTATTTTTCTGTAGCATTTGAATTTTTTGTTTAGAAAAATAGTGGAATGAAAATAAAAGGAGTGGGTGATAAAGCTTTAAGTGGAATTCATGTTGAAAAGTGTTATATCAAAAAGTAGGTTTTCCGAGCTCTGAAAAAAGGCCACATTATTGAGTTACTTTTTATGCTTGTATGTAATATATCCATGTGGAATATAACAATGCATTGATCCCTAGCATTCTAATATTCAGAGTGAATTTAACTGTATCATAGGGAAGAGATATAATATAACTGAGTGAAAGATTGAAGGTATGGAAAAGTCAACTAATTCTGCTACCAAGAGTTACCTTAATTCTTTTACTGAGTTAATTAATTAATGTGATCATTGCAAAGGCTAGAAAGGAATTCAGTCAGAAATATCATGATATAGTTTGTATGCCGTTTTCTGTGTGACCATAAATTGTTAGATATTGCAACATATGTAACATAAACCACATGTCAGCTGTTTCCTGCCTCACTGTTGACAAGAGCCCCATTCATAACTCTTCTTTTTATCCTTTCAGTGAATAAGTAATTATTCAATATAGAAGGCAGGATATTTGGAACTGGCTATTTAATGTGGCAGCACTCTGTAATGAAATCTGCTGTTACTGGCAACCTGAGAGGGGAATGTAACAATTCCAGCATGGCTGTAACTTTATCTGCTTTGACTGACTGTTTATTTGGCACATCAGTGAACCTTTTATCCCAGTGAGTGACAGCTCCAGAAGGGTCACATTTACATCCATTCTATCATGTATTGTAATATTTAATGGCGGACAAGGTTGAGCGAGACTGGGAGTAATTTGAACTTGCTTTTCCACTGAGTTGAGGCTAAAAGACAGCTTGATCCCCAGTATTGTGGTGTAACATGCTATGACTTAGCATTTGTTTATGAAGGCTAATCTTACTGATTATAATTTTAAAAAAATCTGCAGTTAAATGGTGTGTTTGTTCTACTAAACTAAAACTCTAGTACAAATTCTCTTAAGCTACTGTGCTATTTAGTTTTTTTCCCTATCAGTGACCATTCCTATAAACTAACCATTTCATAGTCTTTCTCTTAAATGAGGCTGCATTCTGTCTCATAGTAACTGAGGTTGAGAAGGGAGTAGTTATTAAGAATTCCTGGGTTCTAATATATAGCATAAAGCTTTTAAAATTTTTTTATTTTTGAGAGTTTGGAAACAGGAGAGAAAAACCAGCTAAATACTAGACTATACTCCTGATGTTCCATAAGGTGCCTTTATATAACTATTTTAATTATGAAACTGAATTGAGTAAAATTGTCCAGGAAAAGCTATCCTGACTGGTAATTTTACTGATGGATTTACATTTCATGACAGGTAATTGAATTTCAGATGTACTTGTTCCACACAAGCAACCTGCCTTTATTATTAAATATTAATAATTTGCATTCATTTTCATACTTTTGCTAGAGAATAGTTTTCTTGTTTTTGACTGATGCTTTAGATTCAGCTTGATATTTCTGTTCTTCTGTAAGCTATATTTAAAATGCTTTTTAAGATGTTGGTATATTATAGGATATTTGAATGGACTGTGCTGTAAAGAAAAATAGCACTATCAACTCTAAATTGTAATATCACAAGTTCACTTGAAGCCTAAGCAAAAATGAAAATTGTCCTTTGTTTTATCTTATTTTTATAATTTATGAAAGAGGATAATTAAAATATACTTAAAACATTTGGAATTTGAGAGTTGGAGTAGTATGTTAGAATACAATGCAAATATGGAAACATCATTTATAATGATAAAAATGGTTTATCATTTATTTATGAAGGAGAACCAATTTGAATTTGTAGTTTTTTCTTTAATGGCAAGTTTTAGATGATGTAACATCATGAATTTCTCTTTATTTGACAGTTGTGATTCACTGCTTATAGTTTTGATTCCATGAGAGGTTTGATAACAATTTTATGGTAGTCCAGACATTAGTTATCTTTTCTTTCCTTTGTTACAGCCCCCTGGTAACTGTTCTAGGTGCTGTTGTTCTACTAAACAAGGAGACAGTCAAGATTCTTCAAATACCACTAAGAAGGATCATGGGGGGAAGTCCAAGATACCCAAAATATATTTTGGGACACGCACACACAAGCAGATTGCTCAGATTACTAGAGAGCTCCGGAGGACAGCATACTCAGGGGTCCCAATGACTATTCTTTCCAGCAGGGATCACACTTGTGTCCATCCTGAAGTAGTAGGTAACTTCAACAGAAATGAAAAGTGCATGGAATTGCTAGATGGAAAAAATGTGAGTAAGTTAATGTATTTTAGAGGAAAAATTAGCTGAAAAGATTGATTACTTTTTAATGTGTTCATTTTATATGTACATTTACAGCAATAATCAAATAACTTACAAAAATCAAATTGATTGCTAGTGTTGATATTTTTTAAAAAATAATTTTACTATAAGAAAGTCTTTACTCAAGTTTTAAATTATGGGTTTTTGTCCTAAAGCTTGGGGATATTTATTTATTTCCTTGAAAATTAATTTTCATTTTAGTCACCCGTCTTCATACTTTCTTCTTTTAAATCTCTCTACCCAAAATAGTCAAACGTGGATGTCATATGAGGTGATTAAAAACATTTAAGTGATTTAGTCTAACTAGATCTAATTAATGTATTTAACATATTTAAAATTCAAAATAAGGTAGTTTACATAGGCCCTCTCTTTGAGCAAATTTTTAAATGTTTTTTAATTGAGAAATGTAATGACTATACTGTCTCATAATTCTGATTAGTACAGACTTCTTTCAAAAAATTATGTTAAATTATTAACTGAAGATATGTTGATGGTTTTGAAATTTTCCAGGGATATTTAGAATAATACAGATTTTAGCTAGGTAGATAAATCTTTCTTACTAAAGACATGATTTTTTAATAATATTTTGGCAGTATTAGTTTGGCAGTCTGTGTACCAGTTTGATAACTAGTTTACTCTAAAATTGAAGTTATAGGTCTGGAATTATACCTAGAAATTATTGGTGAAGCATAAGTTGATAGTATATGAAATGACCAATGATATTTTAATATATTTTGAAAGTTGTTCTGTCTTTCTGTATTTTGTCAAACATAAGTGGTTCTACACAAAAGGCTAAGAGCTATAGCCTCTAGAGTTTCATTTAATTGATATATCACCTCCTACCATATAATGCGAATAGATTATTACGTTTTATGCTTTTCTTTGTCAATGCTTTCTTTTATGGAAATTTATTCAAGCCTTATTTGGGGTTATTCAAAAGAAACTTCAACAGATATTCAAACCTGATAATATGAAGTATAATTACTAAGGGGCTTCAGTGGGAAAACTTAAGTGACTTGTTCAGAACCAGGAAGAGAATACAGAATAATTGAATCAAAACCGTTGTTGAAATTCTGTGATCATACTTGTTTTCATATCAGTTCTTTTTAATTAACTGAGGAACTGTGAAATCTCTTCACCCTGTATATTTAAAAAGTTCTCTTCAAAGAGAGATAAAAATACTAAAAAGCCAAATGGTAAAAAAATAATAAAATAGAGAAAAGGCTCTTCATGATAAAACCCCATAAATTTTATATTTAAGTAGACTTCTTTCTGTAAGTGGCTAACTGATCTACTAAATTCCTCAAATGCTTGAAATTTGTTTTCTGGCTATAATAGTCTATGTAAGAAGACTTGCTGGCGTTGTCATTATCTTTTACTACTTGTTATTGAGAAAATTATTATGTAATTTATTATGTGTTTGTTATCCCATTAGTAAAAACAATTATAAAGTTTAAGATTGTGTATTGAAAGCAAATATTTTATGTAATCCTCTAGAATCGTGCAGTGGTGGTTATGTTTTTTGATTGGTCTTTATCCTCCAAAGTTTGAATCATGTAAAAATAAAAATCCAATAGACTTTTTCATTGGCCTTTGGGTTCTGTTTTCAAGTAAACAGTTCTTTTATTTTTGAATATTAGTATTATAAATAATTGAAGATACCTGCTTGTAGTTGTTTTGACCTAATTCTGCCTCAGAATGCCTAGCTCATAGGCGTACATGAACATTCTTTTTCTTGTTCGCAAGCCCTCAGGGTAATTTGGTATTGTAATGAGGGCCAATTACAAAGTCACTAAAGGTGTCTATGTTTACCATGGCTGAATTACCAAAGAGAAATGATAAATAGATACCTGACAGTTTGAGTGAAAAAGAGTTTAAAGTGTGATAACGCTTCAATTGACAGACTCCCCTCAGGGTTATATTACACTGCTAAAATGGATGAGCTTTTCTGGTTTTGCTATCAGCCTCCACAGCAGTGTCATTCTAAGTGCCCTTAAAGTGTAAACTTTCTGAGTTTTTGGCTTGATCCAAAGGCACATGTTTTTTTGTTCACTGTTCCTTTTATGCTCCTGTACTGGAAGAGCAATGCACTTATCTGCTAAAAGTTAAATTTTGTTTCAACTAAGAAAAAATAATCTTAACTAGCCCTAGAAATAACTCTAAAAAGTTATTTTAGGTATAGAAGAATATCTATTTTTTGTTAAGATGAGATTTAACAGTCCATAACCATAGACTCTGAAGGCCACCTTAGTGATCATTTTGTACAAATAAAAACTTTCAGAATAGTATGGAAGATACTTGGAATGAAGAAATGGTGAATGTCATATTATTAAGCTCAATCTGTATCAAGCTCAGTATGAAAGATACTTGGCACATCTTCAACTGTCTCTTGACCTCAGAATCATAGAATTTTAGAGCTAGAAGGAACCTTAGAAATGGCATAGTCAGTGGGTCAGAGGAATCTTAAAAGGCTTCTAATTCAACTACTCTTTTGATGCCTAGTCACGTGAGAAAAATGGGCCCTGAAGTTTGCCCAGTGTCAGACAACTAATTAGCAAGGAAGGAAGCAAGTCTTCTAACTGCTAACCATTGCTGTTTTTACTACACTAGAAACAAAAATGAAAGATGGCATCATAGTGTGGGGAAGTTGACATGGCATGAAGGGTAAAAAAGAGTAGTAGAGATTAGACAAAGTAAGTGAAAATAATATAAAAATGAAACAAATAAAGAAGGTTAGGTGAGCCCTTTCTTCCTAATTTTTATTTTTAATACCTTGGAGGACCAATAAGCAGCATGGCTTTAGGAGAATTAGCAGTCCTCAGCTGATCATGCCTTGTCCTTGGATTTGCTGACATTCTTTTATAGGTTATGACCTTTTTATGATTTACTCCATTTCTAGCAATGTCTAGATATTTTTGTGTATGTAATGAGGTATGAATGTTTTAAAAACATAGATTTGCCTTTTGTATAGTTCATAGATAAAAATACACACACACACACACACACACACACACACACACACATATGTACATATCCCCCCACTGGTTAAGGACAGCAAACTGGGAAAGATAAATATTGGATTTCAAAATCACATTTAATTTTTTTTCGATATATAAAATTAATGAATTAAAATGGCTCATTATTTCACCACTTAGTCCCAAATGACAATTGAAAAAGAAAAGTAACATATACACGGTTAGAGACTCAAAATTACAGAAATGCATTAAATGAAAAGATCTCTCTTTCCAGTTCTTTCCATCCCCTTAAGGGAACTACTGTAAGGTTTTATGTATATTCTTCTAAAACATTTAAAATATGTATTTTCTATAATGTATGTGTATAGATTATTTTTAAAGCTTAAACCCATCAGCACATAGACAAATCTAACTTATTTTTTAAGGGCTATATCTTTTGTATGAATTTTTGCCACAATTTATTTAACATATCCCCTGTGGGTAGACGTTTGGTTTATTTCCAATTTGGGGGGCTATTAAACAGTACAGTATATATATATTTAAATGGTGAAATTTTATTTGGTAGTTACTGACAAATTTCCAGTGCACTTCTAATAGAAGTAGAAGTTTATACTTCTAATTTTATACATCTTTTAATAGGATATGCCACACCTTTGCTAGGACTGGATTTTATCAAACATCTTATTTTTTGATTGGTGTATGTTAATAAAATTTTTTTACTTCTAATAATAGAATGGCAAAGGACATTAGTAAATAGTACATGAAAGAAGGTATGCAAATTACTGTTGAAACTTTTTAGAATGTTCGTACAATGTAATGTTAAACCTTGCTAGAAAGTGTGAAAAATACAAATCAAAACAACAGTCTTCTATTTTTACCTTTAAAATAGGCAAAGATAAGAAAAGATAATATTAATGTTGATAAAGGTGTGGAAAAAGGATAATGTAAAATGCTATACATTTTCTGGAGAATAATTTGGTGATATGGTTTTCAAGAAACTTAAAAATATTTTTACTCTCTGATCCTATAATGCCATTTCTAAAACTGTATACTAAGAAAATATTTAGAAATGAGCATAAAAATTCTTATTGCAGATTATTTATAAAGCAAAAATTGAGAACAGTCTAAATATCTAGTAATAAACTGGTTCATCAACTATGGCACATTAATCCAGTGTACATATATAGGCAACAGTGAAAAGAAACTTGGCGATATGAAAAAATATTTCTGATAGGATTTTTAATAAAATAGGCTAAGAGAAAAAAGGAGATCCCAGTTTTGTAAAAAAAAATATTTAGTGGCTAGATTGTTAATAATCCTCAGTGCCTGGGGAAAATTTGCTTTGTTCTCATTATTTTAAAGTTGGGTCTCATTATAGAGATATATCCACAAGTATATATGTATAGAAGAAATGTGAAATGAAATACATCAAAATCTTGATAGTACATTGTTTGTATAATGGGATTTTAGGTAACTTAGGGCTTTTTGGTACTCTTATATTTTCCAACTTTTTGTAGTGAATACTCTTTTTTCCCCTAGGACATTTCTCCTGCCCTCCTTCCCAGTTTCCATTCTTCCTTTGTTTTTACTTATTTATATTTGATTAAGTAATACTGTCTCATGGCTCAAATTGAAAAGGTACAAAAGTGTCTATAGAGAAAAATGTCTTTCAGTCCTGTTCCCAAGTCACTTGGCTCTCATCTTTGAAAGCAACTAGTGATACCATTGGCCTTGTGTATCCTTCCAGATCCTTCCAGAAATATTTTTGTCTAATACCACTTTAATCAGAACAAAGTCACAACAAACATACTTTTAAAAATATGTTTCTCAAGTTAATTTGGGATATTTCCAGCTATACTGATCTGGAGCTCTATCTGAGTTAACTAATATAGTTCTTTAAAATGGTTGTATTATAGATGTGGTGTATGTACTCTGTCTCCTCTGTTAAATCTTTACTTTGTGGCTTTAATGATGTTTCTAAAATTCTGAGGTGAACTTGTGTTATTTCTTCTGTTCTAGTATTGCTTCATATTTCAGCTATGCATTTTTTTTTTTTAGGGAAAATTCTGCTATTTTTATCATGGTGTTCATAAAATTAGTGATCAACACATATTACAGACTCTCCAAGGGATGTGCAAGGCCTGGGATATAGAAGAATTCGTCAGCTTGGGGAAAAAACTAAAGGCATGTCCATATTACACAGCACGAGAACTAATGCAGGAGGCTGACATAATATTTTGTCCCTACAACTATCTTCTAGATGCACAAATAAGGGAAAGTGTGAGTAGATATGTAAAAATTAAAAGAACTGTTTTCCTACTATTGGGATATAAGTGATGAATGTAAAGCTTTTAGATGTTTTAACGTCTTTTACTTTATTCTTTGCTTTATATTTAATTTATGGAAATGTGTAAACAGATTAGAGTATTGAAAACATATTCTAGGGGGTATTAAAAACTGAATTTTAGACATTGTCATTTTAATTTCCAAAGTAATAAGCACTTCTAAGGACCTAGTACTGAAGTGGAATCATAACAGGGTTTTTCAACCTTGACGGTAATGACATTTTGGGCTGGATAATTCCTTGTTGTGGTGGGCTGTCTGTGCATTGTAGGATGTTTATTAGCATCTCTGGTTTTATCCACTAGGTGCCAGTGGTACCCTCGCAGTTGTCACAATCAAAAATGTCTCCAGACGTTGCCAAATATCCCCTGGGGTACAAAAAATTTCTCCCATTTGAGACCCTTATATAGCGATCTCTTTATGAATAGAAAGAATGATTTTAAAACATTTATCTAAAGAATCTGTGTTTTGAAGAACTTACATTGGGAGAATATGCATACTATGCAAATTATGCTCTGTGAAGTTTGAATAAGTGAATTTGGATACAGCATTTGTGTTTATCTGCCTGGTTCTTAGAGAAATCCAGTTGTTACAGCATAAGACAAAAAGTGAATAACTTCATATATTCAGTTGTTATTCCTCTCTTTAGATCTGACTCTACAACTTTCATTAGCTTTCTATTTCTGTAAGTTTAAAATGAATAGGCATTATGTTTAATACCCCTGCTATCCTTCCTCTTATTTGGCTGCCTTTCAGCTAGGTCTCTTTCCGTTGAGCAACGGTGTATATCAATGCCAAGTCAGTCTTCCTCTGCTTAAAAATCTCTTATATCTCTCTTTGCTCATGGGATAAAGTCATATTTCTTAAGCTTACTCCCAAGATGATCAGTAGTCTGACCTAAATCTGCCTTTTCAGCCTTCTCTGCTACAGACTCCCAACTTGAACTCTTCAAAAACTTACCTCAAAGTCCCCTGAGGATACCTTGTTCTTTCCTGTATCTCTGCTTTTGATTACACCTATATTGAATTGCCCTACTCTCTCTTTGTGTATCCAAATCCAAATCCTGCTCATTTTTTAAACCTCAGTATATTTCCTACTCTTTTATGGTTCTTTCTCAGCCATCTACAGCCCTCTGTATATTATTATTTCCTCAGAATAACTCAGTGGCAATTGCTTTGTGACATTTTGTATTAGTCAGGACTCTTTCAGTTGCATTTGACACAAACCCAGCTTCAATAGAGCTTAAAAAAATATACTTGACTATCGTGATGACTTTGTAATCAGGCAAGTTCTTCCCAGTAGGAACAAAGATAACCATAATCAGCTAGCTTTTCTCCAGCTAGGTAACCTGGAAAAAAGAATATGATTTCACATTAGCCACCCATAATTACTCTGATTGGCCTAGCTTGGATCTCATACCCATTCTTGAACCAGTCATTGTGACCATAGACAGATGGAATACTTTATTTAATTGACAAGCCTGGGTTCTAAGTCTACCCACATTATGAGAGTGGTGATGTCCCTTGATTAACAGCTTAACAGTCCTACAGACATCACATGGGAGTTGGGGAAGAGCACTTCTCAAAAGGGTTGCAGAAGAGACTGAAATGAAACAGATACATACTATATTGTATTAGTATTTTGAGAGTCTTTTGAATCTTGTGTTGTTATTTTCGTTTTAAAGGTTTTTTTTTTATTCTACTTTTTATATTATGTTGGAGATCCCTTATACCCCTTTGTATAACCAGCCATATGTTGATTTTGGCTCACTTAACACATATTATTTTGGTTGATAGGTTTACAAGTATTTTGAGAGTGAAAAATGGAAAACTGTAATGCTGAGCTGATATTTGGTTGGCCTAAGTGCTTTAAAATTTTAAGACTGAGAATCAGTTGCTTATATAGTTGGACTTGTGATATTGGCCTATAGTGTGAATTTTTTAATGAAATATCTTGCCTATTGCTGTTAAATCCATTTTGCTGAATGTTTTACAGGAAAACTCTTTTATCTTATAGATGGATATCAATCTGAAAGAACAGGTTGTCATTTTAGATGAAGCTCATAACATTGAGGACTGTGCTCGGGAATCAGCAAGTTACAGTATAACGGAAGTTCAGCTTCGGTTTGCTCGGGATGAACTAGATAGTATGGTTAACAATAATATAAGGAAGAAAGACCATGAACCCCTACGAGCTGTGTGCTATAGCCTCATTAAGTAAGAACATTTGTCTTTCAGTGTCATTTGTGCTGCCTTTGTATTAAAAACATGTTTTATTGTGCCAAGTATTTTACAATTAGTAAACTTTGACCAGGCTACTTGGGAAATGGATTGTTGTTTGCCCATTAAAGGTAGAGATAGGCTAGTCCAAACTTCTGTCTTGTTCAAAAGAATATAGTGAATGTAACTGATTTTTAAAATTGATAATTGTGAATCTTATTCCTAATTTAGCAGGATAATTTAGTAGTCCCATAAGATGTGTGTAGGATATTGGGCTGAACATTAACTAAACATGGTTTTAATTAACATATTTTAAAATTCTGGACCATGGCTTTATTTTATCGCTTTATCCTACAGTTTGAGTAGGATTCTGGTTTGATGAGTTTCATTTAACCAAGATTTCAATACTGTAAAATAATAGATTTAGTATTTTATTTATTTATTTTTAAAATTATTTATTTATTTGGCTGTGTCAGGGCTTTGTTGTGGCACACAGGATCTTCGTTGTGGAATGTGGGATCTTTTCATTGCAGCACCTGGGCTCTTCTCTGGTTGCAGAGTGTGGGCTCTCTAGTTGTGGTGCATGGGCTCTAGAGTGCACAAGCTCAGTAGTTGTGGCGCGTGGACTTAGTTGCCCCACGGCATGTGGGATCTTAATTCCCTGACCAGGGATCCAACCCGCGTCCTCTGCTTCGAAAGGAGGATTCTTAACCACTGGACCACCAGTGAAGTCCTGATTTAGTATTTTATTGAAACTTACATTAGATAGTTTCCCTTTAATTAGGCGTTATGTTGTTGATCTAGAATCTCTTTACCTTAGAAAAAAATGTTACCTGACACTACATCCCGTTCCATTTATTGCAGCACTTTTCTGTTCCCTTCACAGTATATATTTTTTAAAATATGCATGTTTATACATCCACATGTTCAAACATAAGAGGTTTACAAATTTATATCGTAAAAACCTTTTTCCCACCCCATCTTCCATCTGCTTAATTTCTGTCTTCCTGAACAAGTTTATCATTTAGTTCATATTTATGCAAAAATGAGCCAATATAGATACTTTCTCTTATCCCTCCTTTTTACCCAAATGATGGCATCTATACATACACTTTTTTCTTCTCCATTTTAAACATAAAATATATTTTATTTTTGGGTCTTCCCTGGTGGTGTAGTGGTTAAGAATCTGCCTGCCAATGCAGGGGATACGGGTTCAATCCCTGGTCTGGGAGAATCCCACATGCTGCGGAGCAACTAAGCCCACGTGCCACAACTACTGAGCCTGTGTGCCTCGAGCCCATGCTCCACAACTAGAGAAGCCACCACAATGAGAAGCCCACGCGCCACAACAAAGACTAGCCCCCGCTCGCCACAACTAGAGAAAGCCTGTGCGCAGCAACGAAGACCCAATGCAGCACCCCCCCCAAAATATCTATATAGATGTATGTTTTATTTTTTCTGCTGTATAGCAAAGTGAATCAGTTATACATATACATATATCCACTCTTTTTTTTTTCTTTGGTACGCGGGCCCTTCACTGTTGTGGCCTCTCCCGTTGCGGAGCACAGGCTCCGGATGCGCAGGCTCAGCGGCCATGGCTCCCAGGCCCAGCCGCTCCGCGGCATGTGGGATCTTCCTGGACCAGGGCACGAACCTGTGTCCTCTGTATCAGCAGGCAGACTCTCAACCACTGCGCCACCAGGGAAGCCCTTATGTTTTATTTTTTAAAAGCCAGTTTATTGAGGTATGATTGACATATATAAAACTATTAATATTTAATGTATAAAACTTGATGAGTTTGAGATAAGTATACATCTGTGAAACCATCACCACGGTTTTTAACATAAACATACTCATTGCCTCTAGAAGTTTCCTTCTGCCCTCTTTATTTATTATTATTTGTGATAAGAACACTTAATATAAGACATACCCTCTTAGCAAATTTTTAAGTATACAATACAGTATTGTTAGCTGTAGGCATTGTACTTTATATGTACATTTTTCTGTATCTTGCCTTTTTTCACTTAACAATATATTTTGGAGATCTTTCCATATCAAGACCCAGAAAGCTTCTCAGTTTTAAAAAAACAGTTGCCTAGAATTCCATTGCATGGATGTACAGTGATTAATTTAACCAGCCTCTGATAGTAGATATTGAGGTTGTTTTACAATCTTTTGCTATTACATTGCTGTAACGAACATATGCCCTTTCATCTGTCTGGGAGTATATCTATAGCAAAATTTTTAGAAGTGGGATTCTTGGGTCAAAGCATAGATCTACATGTAATTTTGATAGGTATTTTTAAAATTTACACAGTAGATGGTTGAGTGGAAGACTAATTTATACTCTGACCAGCAATGTATGAGAATATGAAAGTTGTTTTTTTTCTAACCTGATGGGTGAAAAGTATCCCAGTGTACTTTTCATTTACATTTCTCTCTTTTTTTAAAAAATGTATTTATTTATTTGGCTGTGCCAGGTCTTAGTTGTGGCACGCGGGATTTTTGCTGTGGCACACGGAATCTTTGCTGCGGCATGCGAGATCTTTAGTTGCAGCATGAAGGATCTAGTTCCCTGACCAGGGATCGAACCTGGGCCCCTGCATTGGGAGCACAGAGTCTTAACTGCTGGACCACCAGGGAAGTCCCTCATTTACATTTCTCTTAATGTGTGATTAAGCATTTTTAAGGGCCATATATATGTCCTTTTCTGTCAACTCTCTGTTGACATTTCTGTCTTTGTTCTTGTTTTTATGGTTCTTTTTCTTATTGATTTGTAGATGTTCTTTGTAAATTGACCCTTTGCTTGTGATAAGAGTTGCAAACATTCCCCTCCATTTTGCTATATGCTTGTGTCTTTCCTTGTGGTATTTTTGCCATGTAGAAGTTTGTCATTTCTATTTCACAGCATAATTTGTTGAAAGAGTTGTCTGTAGTTGCTGATTCTATTTTCTCACTTCCCATTCTTTCCTTATCCATCCCAGTAGTGTTGCTGTCTGCATAATTCTACTGAAACTGTTCTTATCGAGATCTCCAGTGATCCAGAGATTGCTAAGTGCAAAGGTTATTTTTCTGTTATTTTACTTAGCCTCTCAGCATTGTTGGATACTGTTGACTACCACCTTTATGAAAAGTGTTTTTGTCTTCTGTGGAATAATAGAAAATATGTATTCAATATATTGGTCTCTGTCCCCAGTTCCTGGCACGGAAGTCCTAAAACCTTTATAATTTCCTAAGTGATAAGAGCACTAAGAGCATTTTCTGTTCTACTATTTCATTTTTGGCCCCAGTTCCTGACAGAGCTCCTAAATCCCCTGGGATTTCCTGGATGACAGGTCTGTCTTTTGTTCTAATGAGGTGATGGGTTTGTGGGCTCCTGGATGGGTCTGGTCACTAGAAAGACCAAGGCATGTTTAAAAGCTTGGAACTTTCAGCCCACCTCCCCTCTGGGAAGAGGAGAAGGGCTGGATATTGAGTTAATGTTCCATCATGTCTTTGTAATGAAGTCTTCATAAAAATACCAAAAGTACAGTATTCAGAGAGCTTCTGCATTGGTGAACACACCTATGTACTTGGAGTGGGGTGCACTTCACCTCCACAAGGACAGAAGCTTCTGTGCTTGGGACCCTTACAGACCTCACCCTATATATCTCTTCATCTGACTGTTAATCCTTTATTATATAATAAACTGGTAAATGTTTTCCTGATTTCTGTGAGCTGTTCTAATAAATGCTCAAACTTGAGGAGGGGGTCATGGGAGCCTCTGATTTACAGCTGCTTGGTCAGAAGCACAGATAACAACCTGGACTTTTACAACTGGCATCTAGGTTGGGGGTGGGAGGGACAGTCTTGTGAGACTGAGTGCTTAACCAGTAGGGTCTGTGCTAACTCCAATTAGTGTCAAAATTGAATTGAATTATAGGACACCCATCTGATGTCTCAGAGAATTGCCTGTGTGGGAAAAAACCCCACATACACGTAGAGACCAGAGGTGTTAGAAGTGAAGTAGTGAGAGTAGAGCAGACACACAGGAATGTGTTTTCCTAGACAGCTTCCATGACATCTTCTGGTTTTCCTCCTCCTCACAGTTCGTTCTTTCTCAGTTGCTTTTGATAGTTCTTACTTTGTTTGATGTCTAAACGTTGAAGTACCTCAGGGCTTGGTCTTGGGACCTCATTTCTTTTCTAGTTCTGCACTCTCCTTAATTTACATAACCCTAGTGCAGTGCAAATGAGGCCTGAATCTGTGTCTGTCCCAACCTCTCCCTGGAATGCCATTTTCATATACCCAACTATACTTTCTATCTCTGTTTGGATATAAAATTTCAACTTTCCAAAACACTCCTTTCTTTCCCCTACCTACTCCCCCCCGCTGCCCCTGTCTTCCTTGTCTAAGCAAATAGTACCGACCAGTTCCTCAAATCAAAAATCTAAGTGTTATCCTTGATTACTGCCTCACCTCATGCAATTCATCAGTAAGTTTTATAAATGCCACCTACACAATATATCCCAAATCCTTCAATCTCATACCTGTCACCCCAGAATCATCCCTCAACTAGAACAACTGTAACAGCCTCCTAATAGGTCTCTCCTTTCATTTTTGTCTTTCTCCTATAATCCATTCTGGCTTATAAACTGGAATCATCTTTTAAACACTTAAAATAGATTATCTCTCTCTTATTTAAAATTTTCTGTTTAAAATCTTCCCATTGCACTTTGAAGAGAATCCAGACTTCTTATCCTGGCCCAGCATGATCTGATTCCTGCTTATCACTCTAACGTTGCTCATACCATTATTCCTTTCTGCCCATTGTGGTCCAACTACATTGGCTTTCTTTCAGGTCTTTAAATAAGCAAAATTTGTTAAATCACCTGAGGATCTTTGCACCAGGTATTCTTCTACTTGGAGTACTCTTTTTTCCTTGATCCTCCCATGACTGAATACTTTTTGTATTCAGTTAGAATATATGTCATCTCAAGAAGAGCTTCCTTGACATTCAAATGAAAGTAGCAGTTAGATTACATTAATCCAGTTTATTTTCATTATATCACTGTCACTACCTGATATTGTCTTGTTCATGTAATTGTTTCTGAGTTTATTTCTGTCCCTCTTAGTAGAATCTAATTTCCATGAGAATAAGGACCTTGCCTATTTTATTTACTGCTGTATTTCCGCTATCCAGTATAGTGTCTGGCATAATATAGGCATTTAAGCACTCACTGAATGTACAGATGTCTGTTTGTGTGTGTGTGTGTGTGTGTGTAAATGTATATATTTTCTAGTAATTCTCTTTTTTGTGTTAATATTTAACACTATAATCTTTTTATTAAGCTTTTAAATTTTTATTTATTTATTTTATTTTTGGCTGTGTTGGGTCTTCGTTGCTGCGCGCGGGCTTTCTCTAGTTGCGGCGAGCATGGGCTACTCTTGGTTGCAGTGTGCTGGCTTCTCACTGAGGTGGCTTGTTGTGGAGCACGAGCTCTAGGCACGCGGGCATCAGTAATTGGGGCATGCAGGCTCAGTAGTTGTGGCTCATGGGCTCTAGAGCACAGGCTCAGTAGTTGTGGCATGCAGGCTTAGTTGCCCCACAGCATGTGGGACCTTCCCGGACCGGGGCTTGAACCCATGTCCCCTGCATTGGCAGGCGGGTTCTTAACCACTGTGCCAGCAGGGAAATCCCTATTAGGCTTATTTGTATTTCCTTTTATGTGCATTTGGGATAAGCTCCTAAGAGCTGACTGTCAGTTGGAGAGACAGACAAGTAAAGCAGTGTGAGTCCACAAAACACAAATGGGGAACCACACGCATCTTTCTCTTTTTTGAGTAAAAGCTTACTTTTTTAGCTGTATATTTATTTTGCAATGTGAAACATGCATGCTATTTAAAATGTGTCTTGGGCTTCCCTGGTGGCGCAGTGGTTGAGAGTCCGCCTGCCGATGCAGGGGACACGGGGTTGTGTCCCGGTCCGGGAAGATCCCACATGCCACGGAATGGCTGGGCCCGTGAGCCATGGCCGCTGAGCCTGCGCGTCCAGAGCCTGTGCTCCGCAACGGGAGAGGCCACAGCAGTGAGAGGCCCGCGTACCGCAGAAATAAATAAATAAATAAATAAAATGTGTCTTAATTAATCCACATATATGTGCTCAGAGCTTCAAGGAATACAGATCAATGTATCACATTTCTCTTTGCTCTGTTGAAGTAGTGCACATAAGGATGATACTGGTTGATGGAATTGTTTTATTTTATTCCAGTTGGTTAGAAGCAAACTCTGAACATCTTGTGGAAAGGGGTTATGAATCATCCTGTAAAGTGTGGAGTGGAAGTGACATGCTCTTAAATTTACACAAAATGGGCATAACCACTGCTACTTTTCCTATTTTGCAGGTAAGTTTTTTTTTTCTACCTGTGAGATTTATTTAGTGAATTAGAAATGACTTAATAGTGAATAGTTAATCCAGAGTAAAGAAAAAAAAGTAGCAAGTTAATTGTTTCAAAATTTTATTTTATTATGTAAGTTCGATAATCTTTAAGTGATGGCATAAATTATGGAAGAAAAAGTAGCATTATTAGTTTGAAGGCTATATGGCTTAATTAATACAGAATTAATTGCTTTGTTTAAAGCTAAAATAAGTCAGTATTTTTAGGTTATGAATATTTTGTCAATTATAAAAGTTAAAAATTTGGAAAATAAAAAGATAAGAAATTCATGTTTTATTCTCCTTAACTTAGAGGTTATAAACCTGGGTATATAGAGATTATGGGTGGGCTGTGGGATACTGTGAGCCTTATGAAGTTACATTCAAAATTTTATGAGTATTTACTTTTGTACGTTTTTCTGGATAGAACCTTCATGACTTACATTATTCTCAAAAGAGTGTTTGTTTGGGGTTGTTCTTTTGTGTTTTTTGCAGGTGAGAATGTTTTTACTTTCTCTTTTTGTTCTTATTTATTTATATTACTTTACTTTTAAAGTGGTTGTTATAGGTTTATAGAAAAAGTGAGCAAAAAGGACAGAATTCTCATATACCAGCACCCCCAACCACACACGTATTCACAGATACTATAGATTCTCTTATTATTAACATCTTGCAGTAGTAGTACATTTATTACAATTGAACCAATATTGGTTACATTATTTTTAACTGAAGTCCATAGTTTATGTTAGGGTACACTTTTTGTGTTGTATGTACAGTTCTATGAGTCGTTATGAAAGCATAAGGTCACGTATCTACTGTTACAGTATCATACAGAATACATTCATTGCCTTAAAAATCTTGTGTTGCGCTTATTCATCCCTTGAACACACTTTATTTCCTCTGCTGAACCTCTGGCAACCACTGATTTTTTGTTTTTCTGACTCCATAGTGTTGCCTTTTCCAGAACGTTATATAGTTGTAATCATACAGTATGTGGTCTTTTTAGACTGGCTTCTTTCACTTAACAGTATACATTTAAGGTTCCTCCATGTCTTTTTGTGGTTTGACAACTCATTCCTTTTTATTTCTGAACTATATTTATTGTATGTATGTACCACAGTTTGTTTATCCATTTACCTACTGAAAGACACATTGGTGGTTTCCAAGTTTCGGCAATTATGACTAAAGCTGCTATAAACATTTGTGTGCATGTGTTTGTATGGACATACTTCCTGCTCATTTGGATAAATACTTAGGAGCACAATCGCTGGATTGTATGGTAAGACTATGTTTAGCTTGCAATAAACTACTAAACTATCTTCCAAAGTGATTGTACCATTTTACATTCCCACAGGCAGTGAATAAGAGTTCCTGCTGTTCCACATCCTTGCCAACATTTGGTGTTGTCAGTGTTTTGAATGTTAGCCATTCTAATAGATATGTATTAGTATCCCATTGTTGTTTTAATTTACATTTCCCTAATGACATATGATGTGGAGCATCTTTTCACATGCTTATTTTCCATCAACATGTTTTATTTGGTGAGGTATCTCTTCAGATGTTTTGCCTACCTTTTAATTGAGTTGTTTGTTTTCTTATTGTTGAGTTTTTTTCTTTTTTTTTGCGATACGCGGGCCTCTCACTGTTGTGGCCTCTCCCATTGCGGAGCACAGGCTCTGGACGCGCAGGCTCAGCGGCCATGGCTCACGGGCCCAGCCGCGGATCTTCCCAGACCCGGGCACGAACCCGTGTCCCCTGCATTGGCAGGCAGACTCTCAACCACTGCGCCACCAGGGAATCCCATATTGTTGAGTTTTAAGAGTTCTTTGGGTATTTTGTATACAAGACCTTCATCTGATATGTGTTTGCAAATATATTCTTCCAGCCTGTGGCTTGTTTTTTCATCCTATTAATGGAGTCTTTCATATAGCATAAGTTTTTAGTTTTAATAAAGTTCAAATTTTTTTCTTTGATGGATCCTCCTTTTGGTGTTGCAACTAAAAATTCATCACCGAACCCAAAGTCACCTAGATTTTCTCCTGTCTTTTCTTCTACAAGTTTTATAGTTTTGTATTTTACATTTAAGTCTGTGGTCCATTTTGAGTTAATTTTTGTGATGGGTGTAAGTTCTGTGTCTAGATTCATTTCTTTGGATGTAGATGTTACTCTGTCACCATTGGTTGAAAAGACCATCCTTTCTCCATTGGATTATCTTTGGTTCTTTGACAAAAGATCAGTTTACTATATTTGTGTTGGCCCATTTCTGGGCTCTCTATTCTTTTTTTTTTTTTTTTGCGTCATGTGGGCCTCTCACTGTCGTGGCCTCTCCCGTTGCGGAGCACAGGTTCTGGATGCGCAGGCTCAGTGGCCATGGCTCACGGGCCCAGCCGCTCTGCGGCATGTGGAATCTTCCTGGACCGGGGCATGAACCCGTGTCCCCTGCATTGGCAGGCGGACTCTCAACCACTGCGCCACCAGGGAATGGGCTCTCTATTCTTTTCCATTGATATACTTGTCTGTTCCTTCATTAGTTCCACACTGTCTTGATTACTGTAGCTTTATAGTAAGTCTTGAAGTCAGGTAGTGTCAGTCCTCTGACTTTGTTCTTCAGCATTGTGTTTGCTATTCTGAGTCTTTCATCTTTCCATATAAACTTAGAATTGAAACTGAGCCCCTGTGGGGCTCCTGGGCATGGAAGCCTTTCTGTCCCCCATTTCTTGTATATAGGGAACAGACTCCAGCCTCCATGACCTTCCCTGGGTTCCAAAGGGCAGATTGGAACAGTTGTTAGGGTAGGGAGGGGATGCAGAGACAAGGGAGGAGAAGCCAAGAAACTACCAGAGGCAAGATTAAAGGAACCAGAGAAGCTAATCAAGATTAGGAGACCACCTGAGATGAGATCAAAGGAGTTCAGGCCCTGCACACACCCTAATCTTGTCAGCAACCCCATCCTTGAACTATTGCTATAAAACCCCTCACCAAACCCCCCAGGGTTGGGGGACACAGTTTTTCAGGGGCATGAGCCTGCTGTATCTCCCTTTGAGTGGCAAAGCAATAAAGTTATCCTCTTCTACTTCACCTAAAACTCTTGTCTTCAAGATTCAGTTTGGCACGGTGCACAGAAACCAAGCTTTCTGCGTCAGAATCAGTTTGTCAGTATCCACCAAGTAACTTGGTGGGATTTTGATTGGGACTGCATTAAATCTGTAAATCAATCTGGGAAGAACTGACATCTGAACAATATTGAGTGTTCCTATCCATGAACATGGAGTATCTCTCCATTTATTTAGATCTTTGATTTCTTTTATCAGAGTTTTATAGTTTTCCTCATATAGTTTTAAAGAGGTTTTTGAACCAAAAAAGGTAAGAACTGTTGCTAACGTGAACTAGCATTATGGGCATATGAGTATTAAAAATATATTTTAATAAGACTGTACTTATAATTTTTGCCCTGAATTTTTAAAGTACAATGTATCATAAGTAGTTTTTCATATGACACTTTCTTTTTTTTGCATAAACTTTTTGCATTCTAAAGACTTTTCATATCAACAGTAAAATGGGTTAAATAAATTGTGGGATATTCATACAGTAGACTACTGTACAGCAATTTACAAAATGAACCACTGCCACCACAACCATATGAATGAATCTTACAGACATAAAGTTGCATAAGAGAAACCAGCACAAAAGAGTACAAACTGTATGGCTTCATTTTTATGAAATTTAAGAAAAGACAAACATAATTATGCTAATAGAAGTCAGAATACTGGTTACCACTGGTTACCTTACCAGTGCAGGGGTAAGGAGTAGTTTGGGCTGAGATGGGACACAAAGGAACTTTCTGGGATTCGAGGAATGTTTTGAATCCTGATTTAAAATCACACACACAAGTGTGTGCGTGCGTGTGTGTGTGTGTATGTGCTTGTGTTTAGTGACCTATACACTTAAGATTAATGCACTCTATAAAAAAATGTACAAATAAAATATACGTCAAAGGAAAAAACTTGGAAAATACAGAGAAAGGTACAGAGGAAAAAAAACTCGTAAACTTAAAAATGATTATTATTAACTTTTAGATTTGTGTCTACCTATGTCTTCTTCTATGCATATATTCACTTAACATAAATTTTTGAGATGATACATATTTTTTTTACCTCTTCATTTAGTAATATGAGTACTTCCCTATTTTAATAAAAATTGTTTCGCATGATTTTTAGTTGCAGTGTAGCGTTTTTGTGAGTGCACATATTCTAAATTATTTGACTAATCTGGCATTTGAAATACAGGTTGTTGCCAGTTTTCCCAGAATAAGAAAAGGTTCTGATATGAACATCCTTGAAAATATATATTTGTATGTATCTCTGATTGTTTCCTTTATATATGGTAAATATTAATTCTTCGTTGCTTATTGTATTACATGTATATTCTTGTATCTATGGTTTGTTTATGGTATTTTTTTATAAGTTTTTAAATTTTAGTGCATTCAAATGTATCATTGTTTTTTCTTTTATGAATTGTGATATTTGAGTTTAAGCAAGCTTTTCTTACACTCTGCAACATTTTCTTCTAAAAGTGTTAAAGTTTTTTTTAATAAATGTTTTCAGTCAGCCTGGGATTCATTTTTGTTTATGTTGTGAGATATGTAATCCATCTTATTTCCTGTATGGATTTTCTCAGCATCATTACTAAATTATCCATCCATTTCACTCTGATTTGTAATGCCACATCTGCCACATATCTGATTTTCGTTTATGTATAACCTTATTACTGGACTCTATTGTGTTCTTTGATTCTGTTTATCTAAGTTATCCTATTTATTAATCACTGTAGCATTAGAAAAATGCTGATGCATGGTAGGGCATATCTCCTCACTTGATTTTCCTTTGGAATGATCCTGGCTGTTCTTTGCCTTACTCTGCCATCTGAATTTTAGACTTAGCGTATAAATTTCTATGAACAATTCTGTTGGAATTTTGACTGGAATTGCATTGAATTTACGGATTAATTTAGAGAGAGTTGACTTATTTACAATATGAAGTTTTTCCATTCATGAACAAGATAGAATTCTAATCATTTATTCTCTCTTTCTATATATCTTTCAATAACATTTTATAATTTTTGAAAGTCTTAGGTACTTTTGGTTAATTTATTCCTAAGTTAAAGTTTGTTTCTTTTTCAAATGGTATAATTCAAAAATTGCATTTTCTAATTGTTATCGGTGTATAAGGATGGTAGTTGATTCTTATAATCAACCACTTTGTTGGACTATCCTATAGGTTCATCTATAGATTATTAAATTTTCTATGTAGACAGTCATCCTGTCTTATGAATATGACTATTTTCTTTCTTTCCATTTCCTTCACATTTTATTCATTTCTTACTTTGCTAGCTTAAACTTTCAGTACATGGTTCATCACAGTAAAAAGACATCCTAATCTTGTTGCTTACTTTAAAAGGACTGTATTACTAGTATTACAGCATTTAGCAATATGTCTGCTGTATTTAAAAAAAAAATTTTTTTTAACGGTTTGAGATACAATTCACATGCCATGAAATTTACCCCTTTAGAGTATACAATTCAGTGGTTTTTCATGTAGTCATAGAGTTGTGCAACTACCACTGCTGTGTAATTTCAGAACATTTTTATCACCTCAGAAAGAAACCTTGTACCCATTAGCAATTAGTCACTCCCATTTCCTCCTGCCCCAGATCCTGGAAACCACTAATCTACTTTCTGTTTCTGTGGATCTACCTATTCTGGACATTTTATGTTAATGGAAACATGATATGTGGTGTTTTGTTACTGCCTTTTTTCACTTTGCGTAATGTTCTCAAGGTTCATCTATGTTGTAGGTTCAATCTGTCAATACTTCATTCCTTTTTATTACAAAATAATATTACATTTTATGAATATACTGTATTTTATTTATCCATTATCAGGTGTTTCTACTTTTTGGCTGTTATAAACAATGCAGCTATGACCATTCATAGACAGATTTTTGTGTGGACATGTATTTTCAATTCTCTTGGGTATACACTTAAGACTAGAATTGCTGGTCCATATGGTAACTTTATGTTTAACATTTTGAGGAACTGCCAAACTTTTCCAAAGGGGCTGTACCATTTTACAATTCCATCTATAATGTATGAGGATTCTAATTTCTTCCACATCCTCACCAACACTTGTTATTATCTCTTTTTTATTATAATCTTCCCAGGGGGAATGAAGTGGTATCTTCATGTGATTTGATTTTCATTTCCCTAATGACTCATAATGCCAAGCATTTTTTCAACTGCTTATTGTCCATTTATATATCTTCTCTGGAGAAATCTATATTCAAATCCTTTGCCCATTTTGAAATTGTGTTATCTTTTATTGACTGTAAGTTCTTTATGTATTCTGGATATGAACAATGTATTGGATATATGATTTGAAAATACTTTTTCTCATTCCATAGATGCTGTAGGATTTTTAGTTATTTTTAAAATTAGGTTAAGGAAATTTCCTTTGATCTTAAGAAATTCATCATTGTGATTATTAAATTTTTTACAAGTTAATTTTACCACAGTAACATATGAACATAATTTAAAAGTCAATTACTACTATCAAGAAAAGCATTCATTTGTGCCACTCCTCTGTCCCAATTTTCATTCTCGGTGGCTCTTTTAACTCATAGTGGCTTCCTCTGATGTTTAACCCCAATTTTCTAAATAACATGTGGATTCTGCTACTTTCGAGTTTTCAATTTTTGATATTCTCTATTGACTTCCTATTAAGTATGATGATGATTTAGCTCCTTTACACACACTTTTCTCTCTCTGTCTCACACACACACACACACACACACACACACACACACTCATACTCACCCTCTCTTTTCCTCTCTGTCCCTCCCTTTCTCCTTTTCCTCCCTCCTTCTTTCCCTTTCTTCACTCTCCATTTTCTCAGCATAATTGTATTACTATTCAGTGTGCATATCATTATGTATATATATTATCATAGTTTATGATAGTCATCTCATGTAACTTACCTGATTAAATTTTTAATACAACTTAGGTTTCTATGAAGTAATAATTACCTGTCTGTGTCTATGTGTGTGTTTCCCCATTTGCTTAGTTTTCTATTTGTCTATAAACCCAGCTGTCATTGTTTAGGTAACCTAGCCAGAAGTAGCCTTGGAGTTGTCTCATGATGTAGAATGTCATTCAGTCCTTTTGTTTTTACTACAGTGCCTTACCTTCAGGAGTTCAGAAGTTCTGTAGTTTTACAGAGTAAATTGCCAGTAGTCTGCCAGTGTTGGAGAGGAATAGTAGCCTTCCTGTAAGGTGTTTCTCAGGGAACTTGATTTTTTAAAAAGAACAATTTAATACTTGTTTTTCATTAATATCATTAATAATTTGTAGTGCCGAATGTTTTTCCAAGTTCATGTTGTCTTTTTTGTTCTTTGTTTCTTTTTGAAAAATATATTTGTATCCTTTAAAGTTTTGTTCAGTAGAGACTAATTTTACTTTTTTAAATGTCTGTTATTTCACAATATATCTGAATATTGAAATTTATCTGTCTTATTTATCTTAACTATTTTCCCATTTTATTTTCATTGAACACATATTTTATTGTCAAACATCAGAGTTGTCACCATTATCTTTTATTGCTTCAATATTCAGGGTTTTCTCTTTCACAATCTGGGAAAACATACTTTTCTGTTTTATTATTTTGTCTTAATGTCCACACTTCTTTCTGTATTTAAGCTTACGAGCCATGTAAAAACTAATGAGCCAGTTAGCATACATTTTGTATCTAGCATGTATTCTTTCTTTGAGTTGTTCTTTTACTTTTGCTTGTCACATAGTCATATTGTTCTCAGCATCAGAGTACTCCCTGGAAATAATTCAGGCATTTAAGTGGCATATCAAATCTTTTTAAAAACTATTTGGTACATTTTTATTTAGTTCATTGCTTTTGAAAGGCACTGAATAAAACCCTAATTGCCTGAAGAAGTAATGAACCTCCTAAATGTGTAACTTCTTATTTAAATAAGTCTGAAGAGAATTTGAGAATATATGGAATTCGAAATATATTGTTAGCATTTGTGTATTAATGTTTGACTAAAATTTCAATGTATATTTCATTTGGGTTTTATTACAGTTTTAAGAATTTTGTTTTCCCCCTTTCCCTCCCCCCCCTGCCCTGGTACACTTAATATGGTAATTCCTTATAGGGACATTTTTCTGCTATCCTTCAAAAAGAAGAAAAAGTCTCATCAGTTCATGGTAAAGAGGAGGCAAGAGAAGTACCTATTATTAGTGCTTCAACTCAAATAATGCTCAAAGGACTTTTTATGGTGCTTGACTATCTTTTTAGGCAAAATAGCAGGTAAGTGAAGATAATCTGGTCTGTATTCCTCCTCTTAAAAATATTAGCCTTATTGGGTGCTACCATGTGTTTAATACCTACTAATTTTATATGAGTACTTGGGATAGTGATAAACAAGTGGTATAAATATTGCTCTTACTTACTGGCACAGACTCAGTCAATTGAAGTTAGTTTTTATTAATGAAAATGAGTATTGAAACCAGTTAATAAATACAATTAATTAATTCAGCATTAAAGTCCTCTAAGACTAAATTTAAGTTTTCTTTTAAGTATAATCTAGATGTTTCTTCCAGTGTCAGAAAGTCTCTCTTATTGTGTAAATCCTCTATTTAATGAAATGTGGGAAATGAAAAGCAGTCAACTCCCCACACACTACTCCTTAAGTTATAGTACTACCTGGTTCCAGTATTTTTTTAAGTGTTTTTTTATGGTAAAATATACACAATATAAAATTTACCTTTTTTTTTTTTGCGGTACGTGGGCCTCTCACTGTTGTGGCCTCTCCCGTTGCGGAGCACAGGCTCCGGACACGCAGTCTCAGCGGCCATGGCTCATGGGCCCAGCTGCTCCTCAGCATGTGGGATCTTCCTGGACCGGGGCACGAACCCGTGTCTCCTGCATCGGCAGGCGGACTCTCAACCACTGCGCCACCAGGGAAGCCCAAATTTACCATTTTTAAGTGTACATTTTAATAGCATTAAGTATGTTCACATTGTTGTACAACTACCACCACTGTCAATTTCTAGAAATTTTTCATCATCCCAAACAGGAACTCTATACCCATGGAACAGTATCTTCCATTTCCCTTTCACCACAGCCTTTGGTAACCTCTATCCTACTTTCATGTCTATGGATTTGCCCTTTCTAGGTGTCTCATATAAGTGGAATCATACAATCTAATGTTTTCAAGGTTAATCCATGTAACATATGTCATTCCTTTTTATGGCTGAATAATATTCCATGTGTATATATACCACATTTTGTTTACCCATTCTTACATTGATGGACATTTGTATTGTTTCTAGCTTTAGCGTATTGTGAGTCATGCTGCAGTGAACACTGATGTACTAGTATCTGTTTGAGTGCCTGCTTTCAGTTTTTCTGGGTACATACCTAGCAGTAGAATTGCAGGATTATATGGTAATTCTGTATTTAACTTTTTGAGGAGCCAGTGTGCTATTTGTCATAGCAGCTGCACATTCTAGATTCACATAGTTATGCACAAGAGTTCCCAATTTCTCTACATCCTTGCCAATACTTGTTATTATTTGTTTTTTGGATCATAGCCATCCTAATGGGTATAAAGTGGTATCTCCTTATGGTTTTTTTTTTTAACATCTTTATTGAGGTATAATTGCTTTACAATGGTGTGTTAGTTTCTGCTTTATCTCCTTATGGTTTTGATTTACACTTCCCTAATGACTAGAGATGTTGAGCATCTTTTCATGTGCTTATTGTCCATTTCTATATCTTCATTGGAGAAGTGTCTACTCAAGTCCTTAGTCCATTTTTAAATGGGGTTTTTGTTGTTGAGTTGTAGGAGTTTTTCTGCGTATTAATCCTTTATCAGATATTTGCTTTACAAATATTTTCTCCCATTCTGTGGGTTCTCTTTTCACTCTCTTGATAGTATTCTTCGATGCACAAGTTTTGAAATTTTGATGCAGTCCAATTTATCGAGTTTTTTCTTTTATTGCTTGTGCTTTTGGGATCCATTGAACATAGCCAAATATGATGTCATGAAGATTTTCCCCAATGTTTTCTTCTAAGAGTTTTATGGTTTTTAGCTCCCAGTATTTTTATAAAATTCCCTCCACATAGTGCAGGGTTCCTGACTTGAACTTTGAATTCTGATCTCTCTATGGGTAAAATTAACAGGCAGTATTACTGTGAGGACATGGTAGAGAATACCAAATTTTATTCTGTTTAAGCTTAGGTGTTTATAGCCTCTTATTGAGAGAAATTATAAGCTGGATGGGATCACGGAGATCATCTGGTTTAGTACTTTCATTAAAAATAGATGAAGACTGAGATCCACATTTTAAAGGAACTTAAAAATTAGTTTCCTAAAATTTCAGTAAAAATTGTCTTTCTATTTTCTTATGCAATAAAAAAGTTTAACCCACTTTTTAGTTTCTTTAACAATAATACTGTTAACTATTTTGTAACTAATGATGTAACATAGAATGCAAAGAGCTCTGAACTAGGAGTTAGGAGGCTTGCATTTTAATTCTGGCTCTGCCATGATTTATGTAATGTTTGAACATAGGGATGGGAAGTGATAAAGGGTGATATTTAAGTGATATCTAACCTCTGTAAGGGGGGACTGACTCTAAGGTTTAATGCCTTATTTCTATCAGGATTACTGAATTTTAGTGGTATGGGTTGTTGGTGGGGGACAGTGTTATCTAAAATTTTCCTATTTAATTACCATTTTATTTTTATTTAGATTTGCAGATGATTATAAAGTCGCTATTCAACAGACTTACTCTTGGATAAATCAGACTGATACTTCAGATAAAAATGGGTTCTTGGTTCTACCAAAAAATAAGAAACGTTTACGACAGAAAGCAGCAGTTCATGTGCTGAATTTTTGGTGCTTAAATCCAGCTGTGGTAAGCTTATCATGCTGTAAATGAGAATACTGTCTTCTTGCTCAATACCAACAATTAAATAAATGTGCTTGACTGTTTTAAAGATGATTTTATGTATCTAATGTTGTTTCCCTTTTAGGCCTTTTCAGATATTAATGGCAAGGTTTGGACGATTGTTTTGACATCTGGGACATTATCACCAATGAAATCCTTTTCATCAGAACTTGGTGTTACATTTACTATCCAACTGGAGGCTAATCATGTCATTAATAACTCACAGGTTAGGTTTTTGTTGTTGTTGTTTTGAAGGCTCTTAGTCTTTTTACCTCAGTATAATTTATAAACAAATTAAAAGGTAACTGAAGTACTGGCAAACAAATCCTGATAGGAAAGTCAACATTTCAGTTTTAGAATAAAGGAAAATTTGTCAGCTACTTGGTAGTGTCAACAAAAGGAAATACCAATAAATAGCATTCCTTCAACCCAGTGAGTAAAAATATACACTTTCAAGGCAAAGACCGCATTGCAATTTCCTTATTTAAATAAGTTTTAAGTTTTTTAATGAAAATGAAAAAGAAAACAAAAATTCAACTTTTTTTTTTACTGTAGTTCCTAATAGTTTAATTATTTGTGTTTTTCTTTTCCATTAGACTATGGTATGTCCTTATTCTAATTTTTACATCCTCATCTTTCCACTGCACCTAGATTAATACCTGGTATTAGTTAGCAAGTGTTCAGCATGTTTGAATATCTGAAATGAATTAAAAGTATTCTTATGAGTCCTGTGACTTAAGATTTTAATTTTATTATTTATTTATTTATTTGTTTGTTTGTTTTTATTTTTGGCTGTGTTGGGTCGTCGTTGCTGTCTGTGGGCTTCTCTAGTTGTGGTGAGTGGGGGCTTCTCCGTTGAGGTGCACAGGCTTCTCACTGTCGTGGCTTCTCTTGTTGTGGAACATGGGCTCTAGGCGCGCAGGCTTCAGTAGTTGTGGCTGTGGGCTCTAGAGCACAGGCTCAGTAGTTGTGGCGCACGGGCTTAGTTGCTCTGAGGCATGTGGGATCTTCCCGGGCCGGGGCTTGAACCTGTGTGCCTTGCATTGGCAGGCAGATTCTTAACCACTGCGCCACGAGGGAAGCCCAGATTTTAATTTTTTATAACAATACCATGTAAATGTTACTTTAATTTTCCTAAGAATGTTTGAATTGTCATTTGTCAGTCTGCCTTCTACTTCTTTTTAGGAAGTAATTTAAAGTGGTTAGCTACATGCTTAATACCACCTGTGGGCCTAATATAATTCTAGTTCTTTATAAAGAGCTATAGTTTTCAACCAAGAAGTATTTTTGGAAATTACTGGCATTTAGTAGGTGAGAGCCTTATGCTAAACTCCTATATAACCAAGGATTGTGCTTTCCAAAATCCAGAATGCTCCTGTATAGAAACATTGCTATAAGCAGTAGCAAAGGAAAAATATATGTTGCACATTTTCAAGATATTTCCTTAGAGGTTCAAATAAATACGGGAAATTATTAGTAAATTCAGCATATATTTTTTCAAAAGAATGTTATTATAGGTTCTGTGTTCTCAATCTACTGCACAAAAGCCCGTTTAACCTGTAATGTCACTAAATAATAATTAACAATAATAATAATGCTAGTTCAGCTGGATCCTGTTACATTTCCCCCAACTTTTAAAAAGTTTTTTATTTTAATTGTGGTAAAAAACACATGCCATAAAATTTGCCATCTTAACCATTTTTAAGTGTATAGTTCAGTTTTGTTAAGTATATTCACACTGTTGTATATAACCAATCTCTAGAGCTTTTTCATATAGCAACACTGAAATTCTATTCTTAAACAACAATTCTCCATTCCCCCCTCCTCTCAGCCCCTGGTAACCACCATTCCACTTTTTGTTTTTATGAATTTGACTATTCTAAATACCTCATGTAAGTGGAGTCACAAGGTTTTTGTGATTAGTTTATTTCGCTTAGCCTGGTGTCTTCAAGGTTCATCCTTGTAACATGAATCAGAATTTCCTTCCTTTTTAAGGCTTAGTAATATTCCAGTTGTGTGTGTGTGTGTGTGTGTGTGTGTGTGTGTGTGTGTGTGTATCACATTTTGTTTGGTCATTCATTCCTTGATCACCCCAAATTTTTACTTAAAAAATTATAACTTGAAAAATGGAAAAAATAGTATTAATATAGTGAATATCTTTATACCCTTAACCTAGATTCATCAGTTTTTAACATTTTGCATCTTTATATATATGAGACAAAGGAAGAGAGGAGTAATATTGCAAAATGTTGATGATTACATTAATTTTGGTTATGGTATTAGAAAGTAATTTGTAGACATAGTGACACCTTGCCCTTAATTAGTTTAGCATGTTTCTCCTAAGAGCAAGTACATAATCTTGCATAACCACAGTATCATGATCATATCCAAGCAATTTAATATTGATACAATAGAATCTATATTTTTCCAGATACTCCCAATGTGTCTTTTTTTATTTTTTGATGATAAATGCATTTCACCATTTATTTAATGTTTAAGCTCTCACACTAGATTTTTACAAGCTGGTGAACACTGACAAATTATTTCTCCCACAGAAGTATAACCACATGTTCTGGGACAGTATAAATATATGGTTGAGCTAATGTTAATACTCATCACCATTTTATCTATTACATAATAAAACAAATTGTCAAGTATCCACATATTAAGTTACACAGCTCAAAAGACATAAAACATTAAATGTCTGCCTAATTCATTAGCAGAAACCCACCTTTTTTTTTGGCAAGAGAGGTTGGGAATCACACTTCAAACAAAAATAAGTTGGTAAACAACTTCAGATAAGTTTGAAAAAAAATTACAAGAATTTCAGAAATTTTATGATTAAGAATTGTTTTAGCTACAATAACGAAGTATTTCTACCTTTTAAAAACATATTTATAAATTAAAATACATATTCTACATGTTCTTCACAAGACAAAGGCAACATTTTACTAAAAATACTTAATATCCCCCTCCCATTCTTTTTTCAGGCCCTCCCTGTAAGTTACACCCCAAAGTGCAAACATTAAAATTAACTGTAAGGCTTTTTTGTCTGGAGACATTAAAGACATGTGCTTCCGTACAATGTAGATTTTCTATAACAGCACAAAATGAGTTTTATAGAAAGACATTAAATAATCACTGTAAGACTTGGTTAATTAAAGAAAAAGGAGCAAATCTCACGTATACTGGTATGAATGTAGAAGATGTAAACATATCGTGAGCAAATAACCTCATAGGCCCTACTTTCTATGTTGGAAATGCTGGAAGGAATAAACCACATAAGGTCCAGAGTTTTCATAGTTCCTGGGATTTTAGTTCTATATCATACTAAAAATACACAAGAACTGTGCTGGGTATTTTGGCACCTAGTCTTTCTAAATTTCTTATATATTGATAAGATTCTGGCATGGAAACAGATTTAAAGACATGACTCAGTACTGCATGATTTCAGGAAAGGTAATTTGGTACAAATGATAAGCACATTTTAAATGCTGAACAGAAAGAATCCTTTGCTAAGTGGCTAAGTAGGTTGATCATAACCCAAACATAGAGGTTGCAATTCTGCCAGGCTTGTGGCCTGGTAAAACTGCTTTTCGACACTCCTATGGAAGTTTCATCAGACTTTACCAAGCCAACGTGCTGGCTAACATGTACGACAGATTCTGTCTGTCTAGGTTCCACTTCTAAGCAATGGCATCAGGCACCCCAGTTTTACTGAATGCAACAGTTGTTTCTATGACCATTGGAGTCTTTGAAGCGCAGCCACATTTTAGGACGATACTTCTCCAAATACAAAAGTTGCTTGCTGTTAAAAGCTCCATGCCGCTTTTGTCTTATGAACTGTACTGCATCTTCATATTTCATTCCACCTTCAATTAATGCTAGGACGACAAGCAATGGACCTCTCCCAAGGCCTGCAACACAATGAAAGGCAGTACAACAACCAGGGTCTTCATGAAACTTAATTTTCACGAGACTTAACCAGTCATCAACCATCTGGTTACATGGTGGTACACCATCATCAAAAGGCCAATCGAGAACATGGATGCCTTCTTTCTCTACAAGAGTAGTGTCATAAGTTGCTTCACGTACTCTTACTATTGTGGTAACCATACTTCTTAAGTTCCTCTATAAATTTGTTTAAGGTTGCATTAGTTGGATTGTGTGTAATGAGAAATCTCACTTTCTTGTAAGTGACTTCCACAGGAGCTGGGCGGTTCATTTGAGCCATGTTAATTTAGTTAAAAAACACTCAGTAGGATTATGAAAGAATTTTAAAAATTGAATACAGAAATGATGCAAATAAACTGAGTCTACTTCAATATACTCCACTTGAAATTCTCAGTGCTTTCGAGTATGAAGTTGGGAGTAATGGGAAATGAAATGAACCTCCTGACAAGAAGCAGCAATTCTTCAATCCAGTAATACTGAGGCAATAGAAAAGGAGTGCACTGAGGTTTACCCCATCCAGGTCAGAACTCTTGTAAAAAATGCTCTGTGGATTTCAATTCAACACTTCTGTGTCCAGGTTAGCCACTCTTATGGGGGCTTCTTGGTGGAGTAATAATGAATTTCTACAGTTCACTTGTCTGCATAGAGGTTGTGCTGTGCCTGGCAGTAGTCTCCACTGCCGTTCAGAAACTCCATAAATGTGTGACCAAGAACACCACAGAACTGCCTCTCTCTAGCCTGTTCTCTTGGCATAGGTTTGGTTATCCCAAGAAAGGTCCACTCTTGTAGCTTCACTCTCAGGGCACCGAATGCTCCCAATGTGTCTTTTATACCTGTTTATTTTTCTTATTCTTGATTCAGGATCCAGTCAAGTATTATATATTGCATTTAGTTTTCAAGTCTCTTTAGTTTTTTTTTTTTTTTTTTTCTTATTTTAAACTGAAGTATAGTTGATTTACAGTATTAGTTTCAGGTGTACAACATAGTGATTCAAAGTTTTTATAGATTATAAAAACTCCATTTAAAGTTTATACTCCATTTAAAGTTATAAAATATTGGCTATTATCCCTATGCGGTACAATATATCCTTGTAGCTTATTTATTTTATACATAGTAGTTTGTACCTCTTATTTCGCTACCCCTATCTTGCCCTTCCCCCCACTAGTAACCACTAGTTTGTTCTATTTGGGAATCTTTTCTGTTTTGTTATATTCATTTGTGTTGTAATTTTTAGATTCCACATGTAAGTGATAACATATAGTATTTGTCTTTCTCTGTCTGACTTATTTCACTTAGCCTAATACCCTCCAGGTCCATCCATGTTGTTGCAAATGGCAAGATTTCATTCTTTTTTATGGCTGAGTACTCTTCCAGTGTGTGTGTGTGTGTGTGTGTGTGTGTGTGTGTATATATATACCACATTTTCTTTATCTGTTCATCTGTGATGGACATTTAGGTTGCTTCCATATCTTTAACTATTGAAAATAACACTACTATGAATATTGGGGTACATGTATTAGTGTTTTTGTTTTCTTCAGATATACTCCCAGAATTGGAATTGCTGGATCATATGGTAGTTCTATTTTTAGTTTTTTGAGGAACCTCCATACAATTTTCCATAGTGGCTGTACCAGTTCATGCCTCTTTAGTACTTAAAATAGTTTCCTTGCCCTTTTTTTCTGTCTTTCATGACATTTTTAAAGAATTCAAGTCACCAGTTGTCCTTAGGAATATTTTATAATCTGGAATTTTCTGATTGTTTTCTCATGATAAGATTCAAGTTAAAGTGTTTGGTAAGAATACTATATAAGTGATATTGTTGCTTCCCATTGTATCATATCAAGAAACACATACTATCAGTTTGTCTTATTACTAGTTGATCATTTGGTTTAAAGTTGATTAAACTGGTATCCATCAGATGTCATCTTGCAAAATGTACCTCAATCTTGTATATCATTTCCAAATATAAGACTGTTACATTTTTCAACAATCTGAAGTGTTTATATTGTCTTTAGAATACTAATAAAATTTGTACTTTCTCTTAGTCAAATTAACTATACTAAGGCTAGACCTATGTGAATGTAGAGGAATTGCACATAACTGTAAAATTTGGTGGGTCTGATTTTCTGACTATAGATCTTTGAGCATCAGGGAATTTGTGAAACAGTAGTTCCTGTCATAATTGAATCTTAGAGACTTAACTATAGCAGATCGTACCAGCCCTCATCTCTTATTTTGGATTCATTTCTGATTTATTCATTTCATTTGTTCCTATCATCTAACAAAATGTTGTTACCTGCTTAATTTTGTAAAGCTGTTGAGGAAATACATAAATATAACCTGTTTTTCTTTCATCCTAAGAGAATTCAGTGGTCTACCTAAAGTAAAACTTTCATAAATTAAATCTATATATAATTAATTAAAGGTAATAGGAAAACCCCCCAACAATTTAAAAGTAAATTTTCTCTAAACTCATTGCTTGATCTTTTTTTGACATACACGTAATTAAGGCTCCCAAATTAAATGCTAATTTGCCTGCCTCATTTAAGCATAACTCTAATACTGACATATTTATATTCTAGGTTTGGGTTGGCACCATTGGGTCAGGCCCCAAGGGTCGCAGTCTCTGTGCTACCTTCCAGCACACGGAAACATTTGAGTTCCAGGATGAAGTGGGAGCACTTGTGTTATCTGTGTGCCAGACTGTGAGCCAAGGAATTTTGTGTTTCCTGCCATCTTATAAGGTAAAGGAATATTTATTTTTTCTTTTGCCTTTAAAAGATCATGTGGCATAACCACCACAAGCAACAGGGGAATTACAGTTTCCTAAACTTCATATATTATTTTACTTGTTTACTAAGATGCTGCCTGATTGTTCTACCACAGATTTTTATTCTTAGAGGCAGGTTGATATTTTCATGGTTAAAGGAAAAAGCATTATTTTCACTTTGATAAGTTACACTATTTGAATGTTTCAGTAATCTGAATAAGACTTTCTTTGTTGCCCATCTTTTTTTTTTGGAGTATAATTGCTTTACAATGTTGTGTTAGTTTCTGCTGTACAATGAAGAGAATCAGCTATATGTATACATATATCCCCTCCCTCTTTGACCTCCCTCCCACCCACTTCCCCCCATCCCACCCATCTAGGTCATCACAGAGCATGGAGTTGAGCTCCCTGTGCTATACCGGAGGTTCTCACTAGCTATCTATTAGGTTGGCCCAACCCAATATTTTACACCTGGTAGTGTATTTATGTCAAACCTAGTCTCCCAATTCATCCCACCCTCGCTTTCCCTCCCTGTGTCCACATGTCCATTCTCTACGTCTACGTCTCTATTCCTGCCCTCGAACTAGGTTCATCTGTACCATTTTCCTAGATTCCACATACATGCATTAATATATGATATTTGTTTTTCTCTTTCTGACTTACTTCACTCTGTATGACAAACTCTAGGTCCATACACATCTCTACAAATGACCCAGTTTCGTTCCTTTTTATGGCTGAGTAATATTCCATTATATATATGTACCACATCTTCTTTATCCATTCATTTTTCAATGGAAATTTAAGTTGTTTCCATGTCCTGGCTATTGTAAATAGTGCTGCAGTGAACATTGGGGTACATGTGACTTTTTGAATTATGGTTTTCTCAGAGTATATGCTGGGTCATATGGTACTTCTATTTTTAGTTTTTAAAGGAACCTTCATACTGTTCTCCATAGTGGCTGTATCAGTTACATTCCCACCAACAGTGCAAGAGGGTTCCCTTTTCTCCACACTGTCTCCAACATTTACTGTTTGTAGATTTTTTTTTTTTTTGTAGATTTTTTGATGATGGCCATTCTGACCTGTGTGAGGTGATACCTCACTGTAGTTTTGAATTGCATTTCTCTACTAATTAGTGATGTTGAGCATCTTTTCATGTGCCTCTTGGCCATCTGTATGTCTTCTTTGGAGAAATGTCTATTTAGGTCGTCCTTCCTTTTTTTTTTTTTGCGGTATGGAGGCCTCTCACTGCTGTGGCCTCTCCCGTTGCGGAGCACAGGCTCCGGACGCGCAGGCTCAGCGGCCATGGCTCACGGGCCCAGCCGCTCCTAA